GACTGCCAACAAGGCACTGACAATTTCAAAGAAAATCTGGTTATGAAATCATTAAGAATGGTTTAGCAGTTAAACAACTTATCAGAAATAGGGATACATAATCAGGGAATAGTGCATTATGGATTTGAATTTTAAAAGTGATAAAGTTCTATATGCATATTAATGCATATACATATGTGCATGTGCATGCATGATCAGTCATGTCTGATTCTTTCGTGACCCCATGGACTGTAGCCCACCAGGCTCCTCTGTCCATGGGTTTTCCAGGCAAGAATACTAGAGTAAGTTGCCATTTCCTACTTCAACATACGCACACATACACACATACATACATACAACATCACCATTTTGAAGCAGAATTCTGTCATCACTTGATGCCCCTTTCTGCCATTTTGACCAAAACTATCTGAGTAGATACCTTTTTTTAACATTCTCTTATGATCCTTCCAACAGCTTACAAGCAGATGAAAGATATTGATTCATCACCAAGAAAACAAAAATTATAATTAACAGATAGTTAATTTGTATATGATATTGGACATGTAGTTTCAAGTTTTCTTGGAATGTAATTTCCTCTTGAATAATATGAGAGAATTGGATGAGATGAGATAATTTCCTAAGTTGATTATTCAGTTTCTAGCTTCCACATAGACTGATATTTGACCAATGGAGCTCACATTTTTAAAATATTTTAAAGTTGTATTCATCAAAACTATAAAAGTGAGAAGAATAAAACATTGTTCCTCATAGGTTTGGAAGACCACTCAAAAACTCAAACAACAAACACAAGCCAGGAATGCCCTTCTGCTTTTCCTCCCTATCCAAGTATTAAAGTCCCGCAAACACTTGTAAAGATTTCAAATGATTCAGTGAAGTAGAGGCAGAGCCTGGGGAATAAAGTGTTCCGTCAACACTCTGTTGGGAGGAACAAGCAGTCTGTGGATGACTTGTTCTGTGGGTGGTTTCCTCCCACCATGAAATATGTGAAGGGTGTTCACTCCTGCCATTTAGGAGCAAGCTGGATTTAAAGACAAGGCAATTGTGCCCAAGTTGGAACCCAAAGTCAGTTCTCTTGGACTTGGAGTTTTCCTCTTTTGTTGGGGAAAATAATTAAAAGATTATTATTTCAAGAACCATATACACAGCTTCCCGGAAACCTGAAATGACTTTGAGGCTGGTAAAGCTGGATCAAATCGTTCACCTACAGCTAGCTATGTCCATGCCGATCCCTCTTCAACTTCAAAGAGGTCTTTATTTCTCAGTGATTCCCTCTTTTGTCATCATTTCTATTCTTGTCTTCTCAACATTTGCTTTGCCTCATCCTAGGGGGGAGAATGAAAGGATGTAGGGCATCTATGCTCTACCTCGGGTCTTCCATTCCAACACCATTGCAATCTAGGTCCCTTCATGTTCATTATATTCTGGTTGCACAGAATTACTTGCTGTTCTCAAATGTGCCCTTGTCTCTGTTCCCACTGGGTGCAGATCCTTCTACAGTTCTGCCCCTTCTCTTTAATGGATACCATCTCATTGAGTTCAAACAGAATTCATTGTGTAGAACTTTTTCTCATATCTCTCTCCACTCCCAACCCAGCCTGCTTCTGAAACTCACACCGACTTGTGTAACTCCTTATTGTAGCACTCTTCATACTTCTTTTAAGCAGTTAATTTACATTTCTGCCTTTCCCACTCAGATAAATGGACTTCTGGGAAACAAAGACCATGACTTACCCATTTTTGTATCCCTGATACTTAGTCTAGAGCATGGATAATAGGTGATGAGCAATAAGCACTTAATGAATGAAGTAATACTTCTGACCCTGGACTCTGTCTTTGCTCAAAATTGTGGGAATTCTGACTTAATCATCTTTGTAGTCTCCATCATTTCAGGCAAGGCACTATACACTAGTAGTTGCTCATAAAAGCACATGATATAAATGAACTGTAAGTTAAATTCAATAATGACATCTACTAATTCAATTTAATATTTTACTATCTACTGTGTACAAAGAAACTTTGAGGAGCTGATAGTATAAGAAATAGTCTTTATTAGCTAAATATCATGAAGCAGAATATGCATTTTAAAAGAAGTACAATACAGCTGTTCACAAAAATTAAAAGAGGAAAATGTTCATTTAGGGGCATAAGAAAAGGTTTCTTTGAAGCGAAAGTATTAATTCTGGCTCTTGAAGATGGGATAATGGGTAGGCAAGCATTCCGGACAAGTGGTTTAAAATACACGTAAATAATAATAGCATAAATTTTACCAAAGGGCAACTACCTTGTGCCTTTGCAACAATTAAACAGATGTTCTTCAATGTTAACTTACTGAAATCTTGTGTTGTCTTATCTGATGCTGTGATGATTAATTTTATGTGCTGTCTTCACTGGGCCACAAGATGCCCGAATATCTGACTAATTATTATTTCTAGGTGTGTCTGTGAGGGTGTTTCCAAAAGAGACTATTAGCATTGGACTCAGTAGACTGAGAAATGCAGATTGTTCTCCCCACTGTGGATGAGTATCAGTCAACCTGTGGAGGGCCTGCATAGAAAAGGTAAAGGAAAAATTCTTTCTCTCTGCCTGATTTATTGAGCTGGGACATGAGTCTAGTCCTGCTTTGAAGCTGGGATCTACACCATCGGCACTCTTGCATTACGAGCTTCTAACTCTGGTTGGAACCTCACCACCAGTTTTCCTGGATCTCCAACTGGCAGAAAACAGATCATGGAATTTCTTAGGTTCCATTATTGTGTGAGCCAATTGCTTATAACAAATGTCTTGGTAGACAGATAGATAGATGCAAATATAGATATTTCTGTCTCTACATATATCTATGTCTGTATCTGTCTGTCTATCTCTCTGTCTCTCTATCTTCTATTTCATTTCTCTGGAGCTCTCTGATCAATGCCGATGTTTATTTCTCTGAAGAGTAGTTTTAGTTGGGCTCTATCACACTTTCCTTCCATCTACCTTTCTTTATATATATATATATAATGTTGTCTATTTCTGGCTGTGATGTTCTTCATTGCTGCATGGGCTTTTCTCTAGTTTGGTGAGTGGAGGCTATTCCCTATTGCCGTGCACAGACTTATTGTGGTGGCTTTTCTTGTTGTGGAGTAAGGGCCCTTGAGCTTGTGGACTTCAGCAGTTGTGGCGCATGAGCTCTGTAGTTGTGGGCTGTTGACACAGGCTCAATAGTTGTGGTGCATGGGCTTAGTTGCTCCAAAGTATGTGGGATCTTCCTGGACCAGGGATTAAACCCATGTCTCCTGCATTGGCGGGCAGACACTCAACCACTGAGCCACCAGGGAAGCCCTGCCTTTCTTAATACCTTTGCAAAATGACAGGTCCCACAGTTTGCTTTAAGATCCTCAGGTGCATACATCTCAAATTTAAAAATACATTGTCATACAATAGAAGTTGCATCATATTTTATTTCAATAGAAAACTATCATGATGGTAAAGATATTAATTACATAAATGAGCTGGTAGTGAAGGCATCAAGATTTAAGCCAGCTCCTGTGTCTAAATTCCCTTTCCTTCCAGACTATTTACTGAGGCAAATTCTAGCAGTATTCTTTACTCTTCTGATATCAGAGAGATCATCATCATTCTTCCTTTTCCACCATGATCATAACTATAGAATCTCAGGGAATGTAGCAAAGGGAGTAGATCCTAGTCATTATAAATGAACTTAAGAAATGATCATGATATTACAACTTTGTACCCATTGACTATGTTTGGAAGACAAAATCTTCTTGTGTAAAATATGCACATGCAGAAATAAGTTGTGTATGCATTGTTAAAAAGATTCTACATTAAGGCAGGAAGCCTTTGTATTATTTTATAAAATTGTATGTCAGTATATAATTGTTTCTAAATTAAATATTAATTAAAAAACAAGGAACAAAAGAAAAATACAGTCCTAAAGAAGTCATCAAAATAAATTTCAATAGCATTAAGGATTTAACATGAAAACCTAATTAAAAACAGTCCTAGAATAAACTATTGGTGAACATTCTCCTAATCTTGAGGTGGTAAAAGTCTAGAGAGAAATGACACCAAAGGCAATGAAGGGAAATCATGATGGATTTGGCCAGATAAAAATTTAAAGTTTACTCTAGCAGACATAGCAAACATGTCAAAATGTTTACAAAATGTAAAAATACTTGCAGTATATGTGACATTAAAAGTTTTCATAACATTAACGTATGGCATGCAATTAGAAATCAAAAGATATATACATGGAAGTAGAAGCAGTATAATAATCAGGCAATTCAGAAACAGAAAATGTATGAATGACTAAAAATATAAAGGTAATAAATCTTACTAATATTCAAGAAAAATGAAAACTAAAAGGAGAATAAGTTACCATATTAGATTCTCAGATAGAATTCATTATAGTGAGAATAGTGCCTCATTATATAGTGCCTCATTATATAGTGCCTCATATAGTGCCTCATTATGATTATTTTTGACTATTCCTTCTTCCTATTAGGGTTTGAATCCCAATAGTAAATCATTTCCTATTTTGGTATCTACAGTAAGAAAATGATAATTAGGTGATCTTTCAACAAAACTTTAGAGCAAAAGGTTTGTAGTAAGAAAAATGAATACTCTTTTTTTCTTGTCCTTATAAGTCTTCAATTCATATTCACTGAATTCACTGATTAGATAAAAGCCAAAGGGTTCTGGCTTTATCTTAATGTATTAAATTTCCTTCAGATAGTAAGGAAAAAAAGAATCAGTAAAAATGACAAAAGATCCAAGATGCAGGCAACAGATACAAAAGGAAGGGGATATAATTTCTGTATCTGAACTTATGAACATTGCTTGAAACAATATTCATGATACAGGAGAATAAGCTAACCATTTTGAGCCTAGAGCATTCCCTTCCCCTGTGTTTTAGACCTTTGTGTGTTAATGGCAGCCACCCAGGAAGTCATAGGGACGCAGAAATCATCCAGGCCAGAAACCATGACAATTAGATTGCTTACCTTATTGCTAATAGTCTTTCTTCCTAGGAATTACCCAGTCACACAGCTGCAGGTTAAAAAAAAAAAAAAAAAGTTTCAGAACGTGCCACAGCTGCCCTTTCACTCCTACTGAGAGAAAATGAGAACAGAGAACTAATATCCCCTCCCCCACAGGCTGGAAACAAATAAATTATGAAAGTTACTATACCAGAAGAAAGGAGTCTCAGCAGAGAAGTGGCCCGTGGAGTTAATTTGCTGTAGTCGTTCTCAAAAGTGTTTGGAGAGGTCTTGGATGCTTTCCTGGCTCCTTGAGCATCACAGCTTCTAACACTGAATAGTCTTTGTGACCACAGAACTGTGAGCTAGGTTTCTATTTGTGCCTATTTAAAAGTAGTCATAGAAAGCCAGGACAGTCTGCTTGCCAAGATGCATGATCAAGGTGGGGATAAAGATAAATAGTGATTCTCTTTACTCTCCCCTCTAAGGAAAGAAAGCAGCAAGAAAGTACTAGTGAGTAAAAAAAGTTATTAGTAAGATGTCCTGGACTCAAAAGAGTGTGTGGGGAATAGATACAATGGTTCCAGCTATGTTTTTATTTCTATTAATCCTCTTGCTGTCCCTTTAATGCCCTCTGACCTGCTGGCAGTGACATAAAGTCTGAATATAGGACTGGAAAGCACTTCACTGAGGAAGTAAAGCAAACTTGTCTTCATTTGGTTACCATGGTTACCATGGTTAGGGTACTGAGTGTTAACAACCTGATGATTTGCATTGCAAACCATCATTGGAAATGAGGACAGTGGAACTTGATATTCTGGGTGGAGAGGTTCAATTCTCAAGAACTTCTATTGGAAATTTTCAGAGCAAACAGAACATAAATATTCACACATACTCCCAAACCCATAAAGAAGAGGACCAAATTCTAAGGGCTAACAGTCAGTCTTATCCTCCATGGTATTTCAGTATCTATGAAGTACTTTAGCTGAAAGATCAGACAGTTTCATTATTGAAAGGAAAATAAGCACATTATCAGCCTCATTTTAAAAAATTAAATTTCACAGTCACATTCAGCATGCGTTCTTGTGAAGGACATAATGCTAAAAGCATTCCCTAAAAATGATTCTATCCTTGAGTCATGCTTGCCAGCAAATATTCTTCATTTTGAAAAGCTGCATTAGCAGAGTTTTAAGTGATGGAGAAGAGTGTGTGCATTTCTAATTACATTTAATTTCAAACAAACAGGAGCCCCAATATGTTAAAGCAAAGTGCTGAGGTTACTTTCAAGGGGAATAAAGTGACAGGGCCTCATCGAGTCTTCCCTCTACCTCTGTGACAGCTAGTGAGGCTCCTCTGCAGAGCTCCTAGTATCAATGAGTAGAATCTGAACAGCCCTATAAACTGGTCTCAAACCTATCCTAGGAGAAACCCTTGTTTCTTAGGGTCCTCTCACCTCTCCATCACCAGCATCTGAGATCTTTACTCTCAGAAGCCCAGGAGTCTCTAGAGACCTGAGGTAACAACACCACAGCCTCCTTTTCCTCCTGTGGGCATCCACAGCCCGTTTAACCCTAAGAAGACCAGAAACTTAGTCTTTGACAAAGGCTAACTCGCAAGGCATGCTGTAATGGAACTATCATATCCAGAACTACACTCGGAAAATGAAGTCCATATTTTAAGTTCTCATTTTAAAATAAGTGATTTTTAAATAAAAGTAGACATGTAATTGCATCCACAAAGAAACCGTCAATTACTCACATTTTATTAGCTATTAGTTATATATGTATTGTTTATGTAGATAACTTATTGGGAGGTTGCAGTACACAGTGTGTTGAAATCTGCATTAGAAATTAGGAGGCTAGGACTGGATCTTAACCAAGCTGCTACTAAAATGGTCCTGGGAAAATCAATTCCTCTTCAGAGGCACAGTTAATTCAGAAAAATTATGTGTGCATCACTGAATTTTTTAAAGCATCTTCTGCGTGAATTTCAGAGCCCAAGAAAATGAAGTCTGTCACTGTTTCCACTATTTCCCCATCTATTTGTCATGAAGTGATGGGACCGGATGCCATGATCTTAGTTTTTTGAATGTTGAGTTTTAAGCCATCTTTTTCACTCTCCTCTTTCACTTTCATCAAGAGGCTCTTTAGTTCCTCTTCTCTTTCTGCCATAAGGGTGGTGTCATCTGCATATCTGAGCTTATTGATATTTAAATAAGATATCATAGGCTATATCAAAATATGTGAAACAGTGGGAGATAGCCAGTGCACTGCTACTCTAAGAACTGCTTTCTAAATAAACACTTTCCTTCCAGTTCTGTTTCCCAGCATGCAGAATAATATCTTTCTTAGTAATAAAGAAATAGTTAAAGCTGAATTAGCTCACTGTCTAAGGAAGTAGGCAATAAAGTAAATCAAAATGACAAGTGAGTTACTAAGTTTAGAGGGGTAAAAGGATAGGGTTCTATGGGATTTCATAGTTAGAACCCTCAGCTCATCATTGAGGGTTTGGAAAAAACCATCCTGAAAAATATAGAGTCTAAGCTTGATTCTAGAGGAGAATACAAGTCAGTAAAAGAGGTGAAGCAGAAAGGAAATAAGCTAAAGGGGATGTTCCAATTAGTAGGGAGATGAGGGTAGGGGAAAAAATAAGATTGACAAAGTTAATGTCATGAATTTTCTGTATTTTCAAGAAATATGTCATTCTCATAACTTTGATCTCTTTGGAAATCCTGTAACACAATGGCAGAGATAGGGGAGGTGAGACCCAGAAAACTACATCATTTGATAATATCACAAAATGAATTCTTGATATATTAGACACTAGAATGAAGGTGTCAGGAATTCCTTACCTAAACTCTTCTACCATTGATATGTCATCCTGGGAAAATAGGCTAAAAGAAGAGATACAGGTTTAATGTCTTTCCAATTAAATGAGATCATTTATAGTCCCATTTGTCTGGAGTCGTCCTCTTAAGGGTGTCAGTAAATAAATGCAGGCCCCTATACTCTGCATGGGGTGGGCAGATGGAGGGTGATCCAGGGGGAGGGGACAGCATATGCAGCGGTCTGGTGGCAGGAGAGAAATAGTATGATTGAAGAATTGCAAGAGTCTGAGTATGGCTGCTGCAGTCCATGGGGTCATAAAGAATTGGACACGACTTAGTGACTGAACAACAACACTGAATAATACATAGAGTCAATGTCAAGTGACACAAATGAGAAAAGGAGTAACCAAATCATAAAGGATTTTGCACTCTATTAAGAGGTTTGCACTTAATTCTGAGAGTAGTGGAGAAGTGACATGATCAGGTTTATATTATAAAAAGTTCCTCTTGCTTTAATATGGAGAATGGAATGAGTGGAAGGAACATGACTGAAGACAGGAGACTGAAGACCAGGTGAGAAATATTAATGACCACAGCCATGGCCCAGAGTTAAAGACATGAGTTACTTTAGAACCACGTGGGAGAAAGAAAATCAGCAGATCTTGTTAACTGATCTACAAAGTAGGGAAAGACAGTGGTCAAAGATTTTTCTCAGATTTCCAACTTGGTCAACTGGTCAGTACCATTTCATGTAGTGAGCAAGGGTTACAGGAGGAGGTATACATTTATAAATGGATCTAGTGTGTTTTGTTTTGCAAATGTAGAGTTTGGGGTTCCTGTGGAAACACCAAAGAAAAGTATCAGTATGCAGTTTGAATACATGAGTCCAATGTTCAGTAATGAAGTCTGGGTTCACGTGCGTCTTCAGTCACAAAATAGCTTCTAATTGAAGCCAAAGTGACAGGTGAGTTCACTACAGGAAGGAGTGCAGTGAGAGGAGGTCCAAATTGAGAAGCAGAGCAAGGTGAAGGGAAGAATTAAGAGTGTCAAAATCAGAAGTGGGCTTGTAAGCTCTGGAGAACTGATATCTTTGATCTACCTGAGAAGCCAAATTATAATCATCAGGTTGCTTGATAAGTCTAGATTACAGTCAGTTGTATTGCTGAAATGGCTAATGGGTTTGAACTATTGAATATTAAATCGAGACATGACAGAGATTTGAGACACAAAATAGCTTCTAATTGAAGCCAAAGTGACAGGTGAGTTCACTACAGGAAGGAGTGCAGTGAGAGGAGGTCCAAATCGAGAAGCAGAGCAAGGTGAAGGGAAGAATTAAGAGTGTCAAAATCAGAAGTGGGCTTGTAAGCTCTGGAGAACTGAAATCTTTGATCTACATGAGAAGCCAAATTATAATCATCAGGTTGCTTGATAAGTCTAGATTACAGTCAGTTGTATTGCTGAAATGTCTAATGGGTTTGAACTATTGAATATTAAATCGAGACATGACAGAGATATGAGACTTTTGATTCAAGGGTTCTCAAACCTGAATGTGCATGGAAGTCTCTAGGGCCAGAGATTTTAGTCAGTAAGTCTGGGATGGGACGAGAAAATCTGCCTTTTTAAGTTCTCCAAAACAACTCTGATGTAGCGAGTCCCAAAGGGAGGCATTTCAGAATCATTGTTTCTGGTTAGTGCATCTTTCCTCCTGATTGGTCCTTCTTGACATTGCTCTTCTACTCACAAATACTCACCCTCTATTACTAAACATTAAAAGATATATTGATTGTTGAAATGTACATGGAGCTTGTGCTTTCTAGTATATTTCCAGCTCATTGGGAATGTTCCCACTTTTACTTTTCCCACTTATAACCTCTGAAAATGCCTCTTACAGAGAACATGTTACTGATGATGGTGGCGATGGTTTTTAATGATCAGAGACACAGCCTGGGATAGGGAGATAGAGCTTCAGCCTCCCTAGAATCTCATCAGACCCACACTCTTTACTAAGACTAATTGAATGTTTCTGATCCTCTAAAAAGGATTATGTCAGTACAAATTCAAAGGTATACCCACTCTCATTTCAGCTGAGTCCTTCCCATATAGGAATTCTGTACATAACTGTGGTGACAAAAATAAGATGATGATAATGATAGCTCTCCTTTATTATTGACTTGTGCCAAATCCCACACTAAAAGTTGTACATTTTCTTACTTGGTGTAAGTTATTATTATTCTTACTTCATAGATAAGTAAACTGAGGTTCACAGATATTAAACAACTTGTCCCCAGTCACACAAGTCATAATGGATAGACCCAGGAGTCAGGCAAAGTTAGACCTATCTGACTTCCAAATCCATATGATTAACAATTATATATATATATATATATATGTATATATATTTCCTTCTTAGCACTCAAAAAAAATTGTTCTTATATACTTTCCAAATGGTTAGTTCAGAAAAAGAGAGCATATTTTTTTTTCAGAGTTGTCAGAATCTTTCTTGGTTTTCCAATTATTTTAAATAAAAAGGAAGTAGATTTAACCCAGTTATTCTGTATCTAGCAAGCTAAGTCAGAGAACTGGTTATCATGTGTGTTGTGAGAGTTTCTCAGCAGTTCCAAGAGCCCTAGCTAAACACAGATGAGAGCTAAAGGTAAGCTTTCCTTCTTTTTACATTGATGCAGAGACACTCAGGCTCAATATTTTTTGAATATTCCCAATGAGCCAGAAACATACTAGAAAATACAAGCTCCATGTACCCTTCAATTAAATGATGATTAGGATGATTTATAGGTTAATAAGCTACAAAAATAAATGAGAGGTAATTCTTTCCTATAATCTTGAGTAGATATGATAAATTGAGATGCTAAATGCATATCATGAGATTAACTGACCCCAAATAGCTCCATGTTCCAAATAACTCTTAATTTCCAGTAGATGGACATTAAGATGGCATTTTACTTATTGAGATCTCTAATTATGCTTACACTGTAATTTAACCCTTTGAGTTAGATTTGTCACATCATGCATGTGCACAAATATTGGTATTCATTCTTATCACAACAAACCCTGGTCAATTCAGTCTTTCTACAGTAAAGATCCAAATCAAATGCTGCCTCCACCAGGAATGGGACTCCCCTA